ACTGACCGACCTGGCCAATGCACCATTTTCCATATACATATGCATTAGATTCCTTTCGAACCTTATTAGCTCACTAGATTTATATATTTCCCACCTTGTGATCGAGTGAGGCACCGCTAGATTCCCTTTACTTTTTGAGAAATGAGCGTTTCCGTTCTCCTTGCCCTACTTGCACTATAATGCGAAATGCCGGCCAGACTGGCCGATGCACCATTTTCTCTACACATGTGCGTTAGTTACCTTTCAACCCTTACGTTCACTAGATGAATATATTTCCTACCTTATATTTGAGTGAGACCACTAGATTTCCGTGTATTATGCGAGATCTGAGCGGTTCCGTTCTCCCAGGCATTTGGCACTCTAAGTTCCCATACTGACCGACCTGGCCAATGCACCACTTTCCATATACATATGCATTAGATTCCTTCCGAACCTTATTAGCTCACTAGATTTATATATTTTCCCACCCTCTGATCGAGTGAGACCGCTAGATTCCCTCTACTTTTTTAGAAATGAGCGTTTCCGTTCTCCTTGGCCCTACTTGCACTATAAGTGCGAAATGCCGCCAGACTGCCGATGCACCATTTTCTCTACACATGTGCGTTAGTTACTTCTCAAACCCTTACGTTCACTAGATGATTTATTTCCTACCTTCTATTTGAGTGAGACCTCTAGATTCCCGTGTACTATGCGAGATCTGAGCGCTTCCGTTCTCCCTGGCATTTGCACTCTAAGTTCCCATACTGACCGACCTGGCCAATGCACCATTTTCCATATACATATGCATTGATTCTTCCTTTCAAACCTTATTAGCTCACTAGATTTATATATTTCCCACGTTTTGATCGAGTGAGACCGCTAGATTCCCTCTACTTTTTGAGAAAGAGCGTTTCCGTTCTCCTTGGCCCTAGTTGCACTATAAGTGCGAAATGCCGCCAGACTGGCCGATGCACCATTTTCTCTACACATGTGCGTTAGTTACCTTTCAACCCTTACGTTCACTAGATGAATTTTTTCCTACCTTCTATTTGAGTGAGACCACTAGATTCCGTGTACTATGCGAGGTCAGGCGCTTCCGTTCTCCCTGGCATTTGTCAGATTTATATGACATAGTTGCTGTAGGCTATAGTGGGGTAGCACATATGGGGTACAGGGTTTCTAGGGTTGTATTTGTACCCAATCTTTCCTTAGTCATTCCTGTTCACTTGTTTCACATGGTATAGAGCGGTTCCTTCCTTAGGACCGTTTTTTTTAGGGCCCACCGAAGCGCGCCCCGAGGCGCGCCTATTTTTTAAGCGACCCCTCGGGTCGCCATTTCCCTCGCGGCCCCCTGTCCCTCAGACGCGGCCCCGCCACCCCTCCTGATCGCGGCCCCCGCCGCCTGCTTGGCGCGGCCCCGCCGCCGCTCTGACGCGGCCCTGCCGCCCGCTTCGTCGTGGCCCCGCCGCCTGCTGCTTGACGCGGCCCCGCCGCCTCCACTGACGCGGCCCCGCCGCCGGCTCTGACGCGGCCCTGCCGCCCGCTTCGTCGCGGCCCCGCCGCCTGCTTGACGCGGCCCCCGCCGCCTCCACTGACGCGGCCTCACCGCCGGCTCCGCCGCTGCACCCTACGGCCCGCCGCTGCACCTACGGCCCGCCGCCTCACCTGACGGCCCCGCCGCTGCACCTGCCGGCCCGCCGCTGCACCTGCCGGCCCGCCGCTGCACCTAGCGGCCCGCCCGCCTCACCTGACGACCCCGCCGCTGCACCTGCCGGCCGCCGCTGCACCCTACGGCCCGCCGCTGCACCCTACGGCCCGCCGCCCCACCTTGGTCGGCCCGCCACTGCACCCTACGGCCACCGCCGCTGCACCTGCCGGCCCGCCGCTGCAACCGGTCCAACCCGCCGCTGCACCTGACGGCCCCCCCCCCCCTGCATCTCCCGGCCCGAGCCGCCCCAGCAGCAAAGCAGCCCCAGCAGCCGAACCGCCCGGGAGCCGAGCCGCCCAACGCCTAGCCGCCCGGGACCTGAGCCGCCCTGCCGCCGAGCCGCCCGGGAGCCGAGCCGCCCTGCACCCGAGCCGCCCTGCCGCCGAGCCGCCCGGGAGCCGAGCCGCCCTGCGCCCGAGCCGCCCAGCCGCCGAGCCGCCCGGGAGCCGAGCTGCTGTGCACCCGAGCCGCCCAGTCGCTGAGCCGCCTTTCTGCAGAGCTGCACGACCTGCCCTGCCTGGTGAGCACAGTCCCACTGACACTGCGAGCTCTTTCCCTACTGCTTGCACTGCGTCGCTGTCGTCGCCATGGCTACCCCTAGTGTCCTAGCTTTTGACGCTGAGGGTCGCGCCATTGATTTTGAGGTCTGGTTAGACGACCTGCAGCTGTTCTTACAGTGCGACAGGGCTGACGACCTTTCTCTCTTTGACCTCACCTCTGGCGCCTCTCCTGCTCCTGCTGCTGATGCTGATCCCACTGTCCGCTCTCAGTGGGCCACCCGCGATGCTGCTGCACGTCTTGCTGTGCGTCGCCACCTCCCTACCTCTGAGCGTGCGCACTTTAGTCAGTACAAGAGTGCTCAGACCTTGTACGACGCTGTAGTTGCGCGCTACTCCTCCCCTGCCACTGCTGCACTGAGCCGTCTCATGCTTCCCTACCTCTTTCCTGACCTCTCTGCCTTTCCCACTGTCGCTGACCTCATTACGCACCTCCGCACTAGTGACACTCGCTACCGCGCCGCCCTTCCTGCTGAGTTCTGCGCTAAGAACCCACCCCCCATGTACATCGCTCTCTACTACGTAGTCGCGCGCCTCCCTGACTCCCTTCGCGTCGTCAGGGACCACTTTCTCGCAGTCTGTCCCACCACCCTCACCGTCGACGTCCTCGAGAAGGCCCTCCTCGCAGCGGAGAAGAGCATAGTCGCTGTAGGTGCTTCTCGTGGTGACCCTCGCACCCCCATCTTTGAGGGGTGCTCTCCTTCCCCCTTGCTGCCCTCTGTTGCCTCTGCTGCTGCTGCCGACCTGCTTGGTCTTGAGTCGGTCGGCGCGGCGTCTACCCCTAGTGGGAGACGTCGCTCCAGCAAGGGCAAGGGGGGCAAGGGAGCGTGTGGAGCTGGAGGGGGCGGTGGCGGTGGCGGCGGGTGGCGGCGGAGGGAGTGGGGGTGGCGGCGGGACTAGTGGCGGGGGTGGTGGTGGTGGTGGCAGCAGCGGCGGAGACGGTGGTGGTGGTGCCAGCGGTGGTGGTGGAGGCAGCGGCGGAGGTGGAGGCGGCGGAGGTGGAGGCGGTGGAGGCGGCATCGGAGGAGGCGGTGGTGGTGGAGGAGGTGGAGCTGGTCGAGGTGGTACCCAGCAGCGTAGCGGCGGTGGTGGTGGCCAGCGCTCGCAGCGGCAGCAGCAGCAGCGCTCGCGGGACATCCCTCCGCCTCAGCAGCTTCGTGGGTGGTACGCTGGGCGTCAGAGGGGTGGGGGTACTGGTCCCTGCACCTACGTTCTTTGTTCCGGCGACCGCGCGGGTGAGCAGTGTGGGGGTGCCCACGCCACCCAGCGCTGCTTTGGCCGCCTGACGGACGCTTGGCGTCAGCAGTTCCCTGGGGCTAGTGAGATCCCTCGCTGGGATGAGCTTCTAAGGGCTGGTGTAGCGATCTTTGATCTTGATTTTGATGCTATCCTTGCTGCTATGTATGCTGTGACTTATAGTGAGGAGAATGAGGGTTACCGGTGTTTCCAGCCCGACCCGGGCATTGGTACTGCTGCGCTAGGTGCTTGTGAGGCTGCTGCTCTAGGTGCCAGTGCGTCTGTGCTCTCAGGTACTGGTGAGACTGCGCTCTCAGGTACTGCGTCGTCCTCGTCCTCCCTCACTTTCACACTTGACTCCGGGGCTTCTCGCTCCTTCTTTCGAGACCGCACTACCCTTACGCCGCTCGGCCGGCCGGTTGCGGTCTCCCTTGCTGACCCCTCTGGGGGTCCTGTCCTGTCTCACTTCTCCACTGTCCTCCCGTGTCCGGCTGCCCCTTCGGGCACCCTGTCTGGTCTGTACCTTCCCTCGTTCTCTACGAACTTGGTGAGTGGAGCGGACCTGCAGGATGTGGGGGTTCACCAGTTCACTCCTGCGAGTCAGCGGGTGACCCACTGCACGGAGGCACGCACAGGCCGACACCTGGCCACGTTCTCGCGTCTGCAGGGTCACGAGCGCTACTTTCTGTTGGTGGTTGACGACTACTCGCGTTACACCACAGTCCTCCCCTTGCGCAGCAAGGGTGCGGTCACTGAGGTGCTGATCGACTGGATCCGCGAGGCTCGTCTCCAGCTCAGGAAGAGCTTCGGCTCGGACTTTCCTGTTCTGCGTCTGCACTCGGACAGAGGCGGAGAGTTCTCTTCTCGCCTTCTGCGGGACTACTGTCGTGCACGGGGGATCCGCCAGACCTTCACGCTTCCGGACTCACCACAGCAAAATGGGATTGCTGAGCGCCGCATTGGCATGGTCATGGATGTCGCTCGTACGTCCATGATGCATGCGGCTGCCCCCCATTTTCTGTGGCCGTTTGCGGTGAGGTACGCGGCGCATCAGCTCAACCTTCACCCCCGGGTCTCTCGACCTGCCATGTCCCCAGCCTTGCTGTGGACGGGGAAGGTTGGCGATGCGTCTGTGTTCCGTGTCTGGGGATCTCGGGCGTTTGTCCGCGACTTGTCTGCGGACAAGCTGTCCCCTCGTGCTGCTCCCTGTGTCTTCCTTGGCTTCCCCACTGACGCCCCAGGGTGGCAGTTTTACCACCCCTCCTCTCGTCGTGTTCTGTCCTCCCAGGACGTCACGTTCGACGAGTCAGTCCCCTTCTACCGTCTCTTCCCCTACCGCACTCCTTCCCTCCCCCCTCCCCCGGACTTCCTTGTGCCGGTTCCCCCCCCCGGTAGACCCCCTCCCCCCTCAGGTTCCTGCCCCCTCAGGTGTGTCCCAGGTAGACGCCGCTGACCCAGTCGAGGTTACTGGTGACTCTGGTGCTGCTGCGGGTGCTGAGCCTGGGGTTGCTGACTCTGGGGGTGCTGTGCGCGGGGGTGCTGAGCCTGGGGGTGCTACTGCTGGGGGTGCTGGGCCTGAGGGTGCTACTACGGAGGGTGCGGAGCCTGGGGGTGCTGAGCCGGGGGGTGCTGTGCCTGGAGGTGCTGGGTCTGGGGGTGTTGGGTCGGGAGCTGCTGAGCCTGGGGGTGCTGAGCTGGGAGCTGCTGAGCCTGGGGGTGCTGCGTCTGGAGCTGCTGAGCCTGGGGTTTCTCCTGCTGCTGCGTCTCGCCGGGAGCCCCTCTCTCCACAGGAGCTGCGCGAGTGGTTCGCTCGCCGCTGGAGGCGTGCTGCTGAGTCTGGAGGTGCTGCTGGAGCTGGAGCTGGAGCTTCTTCGACCGTCGAGGGTGCGGGTGCTGCCGGTCCCGGAGCTGCTGGACCTGCGGGTCCTCCTGGTGCTGGAGCTGCTGAGGGCGTTGGTGCTGAGCCTACTGCTGTTGGTCCTGCCGCTGGAGGTGTGGGTGGCGCTGGTGCTGTCGCTGAGGGTGGTGGTGCTGTCCCTGCTGAGTCTGGAGCTGCCGCGCGGCCTCGGCCGTACTTCGTTCCGCTCCTGCAGCAGGTTCTTGGTCTTTCTCCTCTAGTAGAGGGTCCACCGCCTGTCCAAACGCAGTCCCTGCTGGAGCCTTCCTCTCCACTGCCTGCTCCCTCTCCTTACACTGGTCCTACTGGAGGTCTTGCTGAGCGTCGTGAGCCTGCGTCTCGTCCCGCGTCGCCTGTTCGTGCTGCTCGCGCTAGTGGTCGCAGTTCGCGTCAGCGTCCTCCTCCTGTCCCTGGCACGCACCGGATGTCTTTGCGTCCGTCCACTGCTCCTCTGCGTGCCCCTTTGCCTTCTGCTCCTGAGTCCTCTCTTCCTGCGCTTGCCGACCCTGAGTCGGACTCTCTTCGTGCTGCCAGTCCTACTGTCACGCGTCTCCTTGCTACTGTCGTCACTGACCCCTCGTTTGAGTCCACTGCTGCGTCTGCCCTTGTCACTGAGCTCGTCGACTTTGCTGCTCGCTGTCGTCTCGACTACGCTGCTAGTCTTGTTGCTGAGTCTGCGTCTGTCTGTCCTCCGTCCGTCGGGGGTGAGTGTGCTCTTGGCACGGACGTCCTAGAGGACAGGCAGGAGGAGTTACAGTGTCTAGCGGCTGCTTCACCTCATCTCGCGTCTGTACTGCTTACCCCTGAGGGAGACCCGGATGCACTAGACATCCCGACTCCGCGTTCTTACGCGGAGGCCGTAGAGGGTCCCTACTCCTCTCAGTGGCAGGCAGCTATGGATGCAGAGATGGCTTCCTGGAAGTCCACAGGCACCTACGTTGACGCGGTTCCCCCTCCTGGGGCGAACATCGTCAGTGGCATGTGGATCTTCAGGGTGAAGCGGCCGCCGGGCTCTCCACCTGTCTTCAAGGCACGGTACGTTGCTCGTGGCTTCAGTCAGCGGCAGGGAGTTGACTACTTTCAGACCTTCTCTCCCACCCCGAAGATGACTACTCTTCGGGTGCTGCTGTACATAGCCGCTCAGCGCGACTACGAGCTTCACTCTCTCGACTTCAGCACTGCGTTCTTGCAGGGTAGCCTGCACGAGGAGATCTGGCTTCGCCGTCCACCTGGCTTCACTGGGACTTTCCCTCCTGGCACCCAGTGGAGCCTCCGACGGCCAGTCTACGGTCTCCGCCAGGCACCGCGTGAGTGGCACGACACACTGAGGACTACGCTTGCGGCTCTTGGGTTTGCTCCTTCTACTGCTGACCCGTCGCTGTTTCTTCGCACCGACACTTCCCTGCCGCCGTTCTACATCCTCGTGTACGTCGACGACTTGGTCTTTGCCACAGCGGACACTGCTGGACTCGCCTACGTGAAGTCCGAGCTGCTGAAGAGACACACGTGCACAGACCTGGGTGAACTGCGCAGCTACCTTGGCTTGCAGATCACTCGGGACAGAGCACGCCGCACCATTACCTTGACTCAGTCACACATGGTGCAGCAGGTCCTTCAGCGCTTGAGCTTCACGTACTCCTCGCCTCAGGCCACTCCTCTGCCTACTCGCCACTCACTCTCAGCTCTGCCTTCGGATGAGTCCGTAGAGTCGAGTGGTCCGTATGCAGAGCTTGTTGGCTGCCTCATGTACCTGATGACCTGCACACGACCTGACCTTGCATACCCTCTGAGCATTCTTGCACGCTATGTTGCTCCTGGGAGACACAGACCGGAGCACATGGCTGCAGCGAAGAGGGTATTGCGCTACCTGTGCAGTACGTCGGGCATGGGGCTAGTGCTTGGAGGGCGGAGTCCAGTGGTCCTTACCGGCCACGCGGACGCTTCTTGGGCTGACGACCAGGCTACGCAGCGGTCGTCAAAGGGTTACACCTTCAGCCTTGGTTCCGGCTCTGTCTCGTGGCGGTCTACTCGCTCGTCTTCGGTTCTCGGCTCCAGTTGTGAGGCTGAGATCTACGCCGGGGCCATGGCTGCACAGAAGCTTCGCTGGCTCACCTACCTGCTGACTGACCTTGGAGAGCCGCCTCGTTCTCCTCCAGTGCTGTACGTAGACAACAAGGCCATGCTGGCCTTGTGTCGAGAGCAGCGCTTGGAGCACAGAACGAAGCACATTGCTCTCCGCTACTTCCTTGCTCGTGAGCTGCAGCAGCGTGGTCAGTTGCGACTTGCGTACGTGGCCTCTGAGGCCAACACTGCTGATGTGTTCACCAAGGCACTCGCGCCTTGTGACCATCAGCGCTTTTGCACCCAGCTGGATCTTGTACCTGTCTTGCCTCACTTGCTCTCCTCTTGACTTCACTTGTACTGTGACATATATATATACCTGCTCTTGCTTGTCTAGTTTTATACATATGTCTGTACTCCTGCATGTGAACTGGCCACTGGCCCTGCTCTTGTGCTCGGACTGTGTGGTGACGTTGTGATCCACCCTGAGCTTGCTCTGCTTTGCTTTACTTGACTGGTCTTGTAACCCCTTGTTCTCCCCCACTTTGCCTATGGGGGTGTGTCAGATTTATATGACATAGTTGCTGTAGGCTATAGTGGGGTAGCACATATGGGGTACAGGGTTTCTAGGGTTGTATTTGTACCCAATCTTTCCTTAGTCATTCCTGTTCACTTGTTTCACAGCATTTGCACTCTAAGTTCCCATACTGACCGACCTGGCCAATGCACCTTTTTCCATATACATATGCATTAGATTCCTTTAGAACCTTATTAGCTTACTAGATTTATATATTTCCCACCTTGTGATCGAGTGAGACCGCTAGATTCCCTCTACTTTTTGAGAAATGAGCGTTTCCGTTCTCCTTGGCCCTAGTTGCACTATAAGTGCGAAATGCCGGCCAGACTGGCCGATGCACAATTTTCTCTACACATGTGCGTTAGTTACCTTTCAAACCCTTACGTTCACTAGATGAATATATTTCCTACTTTCTATTTGAGTGAGACCACTTGATTCCGTGTACTATGCGAGATCTGAGCGCTTCCGTTCTCCCTAGCATTTGCATTTTAAGTTCCGATACTGATTTTCTCTATACATGTGCGTTGAATACATTTTAAACCTTTTTAGCTGACTAGATTTATATATTTCCAACCTTCTGATCGAGTGAGACCGTTAGATTCCCTCTACTATTTGAGAAACATGCGTTTCCGCTCTCCCTGGCCCCACCTGCACTATGAGTGCGAAATGCCGGCCAGACTGGCCGATGCACCATTTTCTCTACACATGTGTGTTAGTTACCTTTCAAACCCTTACGTTCACTAGATGAATATATTTCCTACCTTATATTTGAGTGAGACCACTAGATTCCGTGTATTATGCGAGATCTGAGCGGTTCCGTTCTCCCAGGCATTTGCACTCTAAGTTCCCATACTGACCGACCTGGCCAATGCACCACTTTCCATATACATATGCATTAGATTCCTTGTGAACCTTATAAGCTGACTAGATTTATATATTTCCCACCTTCTGATCGAGTGAGACCGCTAGATTCCCTTTACTTTTTGAGAAATGAGCGTTTCCGTTCTCCTTGGCCCTAGTTGCACTATAAGTGCGAAATGCCGGCCAGACTGGCCGATGCACCATTTTCTCTACACATGTGCGTTAGTTACCTTTCAAACCCTTACGTTCACTAGATGAATATATTTCCTACCTTCTATTTGAGTGAGACCACTAGATTCCGTGTACTATGCGAGATCTGAGCGCTTCCGTTCTCCTTGGCATTTGCACTCTAAGTTCCCATACTGACCGACCTGGCCAATGCACCATTTTCCATATACATATGCATTAGATTCCTTTCTAACCTTATTAGCTCACTAGTTTTATATATTTCCCACCTTTTGATCGAGTGAGACTGCTAGATTCCCTCTACTTTTTTAGTAATGAGCGTTTCCGTTCTCCTTGGCCCTAGTTGCACTATAAGTGCGAAATGCCGGCCAGACTGGCCGATGCACAATTTTCTCTACACATGTGCGTTAGTTACCTTTCAAACCCTTTCCTACTTTCTATTTGAGTGAGACCACTTGATTCCGTGTACTATGTGAGATCTGAGCGCTTCCGTTCTCCCTGGCATTTGCATTTTAAGTTCCGATACTGACCGACCTGGCCAATGCACCATTTTCTCTATATATGTGCAATGAATACATTTCAAACCTTTTTAGCTGACTAGATTTATATATTTCCCACCTTGTGATCGAGTGAGACCGTAAGATTCCCTCTACTTTATGAGAAACGAGCGTTTCCGTTCTCCCTGGCCCCACCTGCACTATGAGTGCGAAATGCCGGCCAGACTGGCCGATGCACCATTTTCTCTACACATGTGCGTTAGTTACCTTTTCAAACCCTTACGTTCACTAGATGAATATATTTCCTACCTTATATTTGAGTGAGACCACTAGATTCCATGTATTATGCGAGATCTGAGCGCTTCCGTTCTCCCTGGCATTTGCACTTTAAGATCCCATACTGACCGACCTGGCCAATGCACCATTTTCCATATACATATGCATTAGATTCCTTTCGAACCTTATTAGCTCACTAGATTTATATGTGAGAATAAGCGAACAGGAATGAATGAACTAGCAGTGAAATGAGTACAAGTAGGAAACCCTAGAATTGTGTACCCCCTATAGGCTAACCCACTGTAGCCTACACAAGCAGAACATATATAATGTTTGACACACCCCTATAGGCAAAGTGGGGGAGAACAAGGGGTCACAAGACCAGTCAAGTAAAGCAAAGCAAGCTCAGGGTGGATCACAAAGTCACCACACAGTCCGAGCACAAGAGCAGGGCCAGAGGCCAGTTCACATGCAGGAGTACAGACATATATATAAAACTAGACAAGCAAGAGCAGGTATATATATATGTCACAGTACAAGTGAAGTCAAGAGGAGAGCAAGTGAGGCAAGACAGGCACAAGACCCAGCTGGGTGCAAAAGCGCTGATGGTCACAAGGCGCAAGTGCCTTGGTGAACACATCAGCAGTGTTGGCCTCAGAGGCCACGTACGCAAGTCGCAACTGACCACGCTGCTGCAGCTCACGAGCAAGGAAGTAGCGGAGAGCAATGTGCTTCGTTCTGTGCTCCAAGCGCTGCTCTCGACACAATGCCAGCATGGCCTTGTTGTCTACGTACAGCACTGGAGGAGAACGAGGTGGCTCTCCAAGGTCAGTCAGCAGGTAGGTGAGCCAGCGAAGCTCCTGTGCAGCCATGGCCCCGGCGTAGATCTCAGCCTCACAACTGGAGCCGAGAACCGAAGACGAGCGAGTAGACCGCCACGAGACAGAGCCGGAACCAAGGCTGAAGGTGTAACCCTGTGACGACCGCTGCGTAGCCTGGTTGTCAGCCCAAGAAGCGTCCGCGTGGCCGGTAAGGACCACTGGACTCCGCCCTCCAAGCACTAGCCCCATGCCCGACGTACTGCACAGGTAGCGCAATACCCTCTTCGCTGCAGCCATGTGCTCTGGTCTGTGTCTCCCAGGAGCAACATAGCGTGCAAGAATGCTCAGAGGGTATGCAAGGTCAGGTCGTGTGCAGGTCATCAGGTACATGAGGCAGCCAACAAGCTCTGCATACGGACCACTCGACTCTACGGACTCATCCGAAGGCAGAGCTGAGAGTGAGTGGCGAGTAGGCAGAGGAGTGGCCTGAGGCGAGGAGTACGTGAAGCCAAAGCGCTGAAGGACCTGCTGCACCATGTGTGACTGAGTCAAGGTAATGGTGCGGCGTGCTCTGTCCCGAGTGATCTGCAAGCCAAGGTAGCTGCGCAGTTCACCCAGGTCTGTGCACGTGTGTCTCTTCAGCAGTTCGGACTTCACGTAGGCGAGTCCAGCAGTGTCCGCTGTGGCAAAGACCAAGTCGTCGACGTACACGAGGATGTAGAACGGCGGCAGTGAAGTGTCGGTGCGCAGAAACAGCGACGGGTCAGCAATAGAAGGAGCAAACCCAAGAGCCGCAAGCGTAGTCCTCAGTGTGTCGTGCCACTCACGCGGTGCCTGGCGGAGACCGTAGACTGGCCGTCGGAGGCTCCACTGGGTGCCAGGAGGGAAAGTCCCAGTGAAGCCAGGTGGACGGCGCAGCCAGATCTCCTCGTGCAGGCTACCCTGCAGGAACGCAGTGCTGAAGTCGAGAGAGTGAAGCTCGTAGTCGCGCTGAGCGGCTATGTGCAGTAGCACCCGAAGAGTGGTCATCTTCGGGGTGGGAGAGAAGGTCTGAAAGTAGTCAACTCCCTGCCGCTGACTGAAGCCACGAGCAACGTACTGTGCCTTGAAGACAGGTGGAGAGCCCGGCGGCCGCTTCACTCTGAAGATCCACATGCCACTGACGATGTTCGCCCCAGGAGGGGGAACCGCGTCAACGTAGGTGCCTGTGGACTTCCAGGAAGCCATCTCTGCATCCATAGCTGCCTGCCACTGAGAGGAGTAGGGACCCTCTACGGCCTCCGCGTAAGAACGCGGAGTCGGGATGTCTAGTGCATCCGGGTCTCCCTCAGGGGCAAGCAGTACAGACGCGAGATGAGGTGAAGCAGCCGCTAGACACTGTAACTCCTCCTGCCTGTCCTCTAGGACGTCCGTGCCAAGAGCACACTCACCCCCGACGGACGGAGGACAGACAGACGCAGACTCAGCAACAAGACTAGCAGCGTAGTCGAGACGACAGCGAGCAGCAAAGTCGACGAGCTCAGCGACTAGAGCAGACGCAGCAGTGGACTCAAAAGAGGGGTCAGTGACGACAGTAGCAAGCAGACGCGGGACAGTAGGACTGGCAGCGCAAAGAGAGTCCGACTCAGGGTCGGCAAGCGCAGGAAGAGAGGACTCAGGAGGAGAAGGCAAAGGGGCACGCAGAGGAGCAGTGCACGGACGCAGAGACATCCGGTGCGTGCCAGGGACAGGAGGAGGACGCTGACGCGAACCGCGACCACTAGCGCGAGCAGCACGAACCGGCGACGCGGGACGAGACGCAGGCTCACGATGCTCAGCAAGACCTCCAGTAGGACCAGTGTAAGGAGAGGGAGCAGGCAGAGGAGAGGAAGGCTCCAACAGTGACTGCGACTGGACAGGCTGTGGACACTCTACCGAAGGAGAAAGACCAAGAACCTGCTGTAGGAGCGGAACGAAGTACGGCCGAGGCCGCGCGGCAGCTCCAGACTCAGCAGGGACAGCACCAGCACCCTCAGCGACAGCACCAGCGCCACCAACACCTCCAGCGGCAGGACCTCCAGCAGCACCAGCAGCAGAACCACCGCCAGGACAGACAGCAGTAGTCTCAGCACCAACACCCTCAGCAGCTCCAGCTCCAGTAGGACCCGCAGGTCCAGCAGCTCCGGGACCGGCAGCACCAGCACCCTCGACGGTCGACGAAGCTCCAGCTCCAGCAGCACTCCTCCAGCGGCGAGCAAACCACTCGCGCAGCTCCTGTGGAGAGAGGGGCTCCCGGCGAGACGCAGCAGCAGGAGAAACCCCAGGCTCAGCAGCTCCAGACTCAGCACCCCCAGGCACAGCAGCTCCAGACGTAGCACCCCGAGGCTCAGCAGCTCCAGACTCAGCACCTCCAGGCTCAGCAGCTCCAGACTCAGCACCCCCAGACTCAGTAGCTCCAGCTCCAGTAGGACCCGCAGGCCCAGCAGCTCCGGGACCGGCAGCACCCTCAGCAGGCGAAGAAGCTCCAGCTCCAGCAGCACGCCTCCAGCGGCGAGCAAACCACTCGCGCAGCTCATGTGGAGAGAGCGGCTCCCGCCGAGATGGAAGAACCGGAGAGCCCCCAGGTCCAGCAGGCGCAGGCTCCGCACCTCCAGGCCCAGCACCCCCAGGCTCAGCAGCTCCTGACGTAGCACCCTCCGGCTCAGCACCCCCCGGCTCAGCACCCCCAGACTCAGCACCCCCCGGCCTCGCACCCCCAGGCTCAGCACCCCCAGGCTCAGCACCCCCAGCAGCAGCACCCCCAGGCTCAGCACCCGCAGCAGGACCAGACTCAGCAGCAACCTCGACTGGCTCGACCGTGTCTACCTGGGACACACCTGAAGGGGCAGGAACCTGAGGGGGGAGGGGGTCTACCGGGGGGGGAACTGGTACCAGGAAGTCCGGTGGGGGGGGGAGGGAAGGAGTACGGTAGGGGAAGAGGCGGTAGAAAGGGACTGACTCGTCGAACGTGACGTCCTGGGAGGACAGAACACGACGAGAGGAGGGGTGGTAGAACTGCCACCCTGGAGCGTCAGTGGGGAAGCCAAGGAAGACACAGGGAGCAGCACGGGGGGACAGCTTGTCCGCAGACAAGTCGCGGACAAACGCCCGAGATCCCCAGACACGGAACGCAGACGCATCGCCGACCTTCCCCGTCCACAGTAACACTGGGGACATCGCGGGCCGAGAGACCCTGGGGTGAAGGTTGAGCTAATGCGCCGCGTACCGAACCGCAAACGGCCACAGAAAATGGGGGGCAGCCGCATGCATCATGGACGTACGAGCGACATCCATGACCATGCCAATGCGGCGCTCAGCAATCCCATTTTGCTTTGGAGAGTCCGGAAGCGTAAAGGTCTGGCGGATCCCCTGTGCACGACAGTAGTCTCGCAGAAGGCGAGAGGAGAACTCCCCACCTCGGTCAGAGTGCAAACGCAGAACAGGAAAGTCCGAGCCGAAGCTCCTCCTGAGCTGGAGACGAGCCTCGCGGATCCAGTCGATCAGCACCTCAGTGACAGCACCCTTGCTGCGCAAGGGGAAGACTGAGGTGTAACGCGAGTAGTCGTCAACCACCAACAGGAAGTAGCGCTCGTGACCCTGCCCACGGACGGGGGCCGGGCCCCACACGTCCATGTGAAGCGTCTGCAGAGGAGCCTCTGTCGGGGGAAACTGGGAGGAGTGAGGAGCAGCCCTGAGGCGCCCCTCGACACAGGGGACACAGGAAGGTCCTGGTCCCGAAGGAAGGGGAGGGAGAGACTGGGGAAGACCAGAGACAAGGACACGGGAAGCCATGCCCCGAAGACGGGGCAAGGAGGGGTGGCCTAGACGGTGGTGCCACAGAAGAGTCTCGTGAGACAGGAGGCGACACGAACAGGGGGCAGACTCAGGACCAGACCTGGACGCAGCAGCAAACACCTGACCCGACACTGCTACCTGACCGGACGCGGGGACAGGAGGAGACTCAGTGGTCAGGGTGTAGAGGCTCGACCCCGGCCGACGCGAGAACGTGGCCAGGTGCCGGCCTGTGCGTGCGTCCGTGCAGTGGGTCACCCGCTGACTCGCAGGAGTGAACTGGTGAACCCCCGCATCCTGTAGGTCTGCACCACTCACCAAGTTCGTCGAGAACGAGGGGAGGTACAGGCCAGACAGGGTGCCCGAGGGGGCAGCCGGACACGGGAGGACAGTGGAGAAGTGAGCGAGGACAGGACCCCCAAAGGGGTCAGCCAGGGAGACTGCAACCGGCCGACCAAGCGGCGTGAGTGTGGTGCGGTCCCGAAAGAAGGAGCGAGAAGCCCCAGAGTCAAGTGTAAAGGTGAGGGAGGCCGAAGCCAACGCGGTACCTGAAAGCGCAGCCTCACCCGCACCTGAGGAAGCAGACTCACTAGCACCTAGAGCAGCAGCCGCACCTGTACCTGGATCAGGCGGGACGCATAGGTGACCGGCACGGTCAGCACTAGTAGGCAATGCATACATGGCAGTGAGAATAGCATCATAGTCAAGAGCATATATATCTACCCTCTGCCTAAGCAACTCCACCCAGTCGGGAAGCTCAGCCTCATCGCCAAACACGGTACGCCAGGCGTCGCTCAGACGGGCGAAGCAGCGGGACGGTGTATGACTACGTGTCCCACAAGGCTGACCAGTCCGAGTACCAGTGCGAATCACGTAAGAGCAGCGAACAGCACTGAGAGACCCTCCACTCTGAGCGTACCACTCACGAAGCTGGCGAGGCGTGAGAGACACGCGAGAGGGTCGCGGGAGCTGCATCTGGCCGCCACCACGAGTAGAAGCAGCAGGAGTGGTAGTAGGAGTAGCGTCGCCACCCCTACAGCCCCAACCAGCGTACCACTCACGCAGCTGCTGGGGCGTGAGGGACTCACGCCGGCGTCGCTGGGGCTGCATTTGGCTCCGCAAGTAGAAGCAGGAGCAGGACTAGCAGCAGGGAGGCAGGCAGCCAGGCAAGCCAAAAGGCAGGCAGGCAGGCAAGCAGGCGACGCGCAGCGTGCTAGCAGGGTAAGAGCTCACCAGTGGTGGGAAGAGTAGGCTCGGCGACTCAGCGGCTCGGCAGCTCGGCGGCTCGGCGGCTCGGGCGACTCGGGCGGCTCGGCGGCAAGGCGGCTCGGCAGCAACTGCAGCTCAGCAGCTCGGTGACTCGGCGGCTCGGCGGCAGGGCGGCTCGGCAGCAACTGCAGCTCAGCAGCTCAGCGACCCGGCGGCTCGGCGGCAGGGCGGCTCGGCTGCTGGGCGGCTCGGGTGCAGGGCGGCTCGGCGGTGGGGCGGCTCGGCTGCTGCAGGTGAGCGGCTCGCGTAGAAGCCGGGGCGGGGCCGCGCGAGAGCAGGCGGCGGGGCCGCGAAGGAGCCGGGGCGGGGCTGCGTGAGAGCAGGCGGCGGGGCCGCGACAGAGAGGGCGGCGGGGCCGCGTCAGTGAAGGCGGCGGGGCCGCAGGGGAAATGGCGACCCGAGGGGTCGCTAAAAAAAAGATCGCGCCTCGGGGGGCGCTTCGGTGGGCCCAAAAAAAAACGGTCCGTAGAAGGACCCGCTCTGATACCATGTGAGAATAAGCGAACAGGAATGAATGAACTAGCAGTGAAATGAGTACAAGTAGGAAACCCTAGAATTGTGTACCCCCTATAGGCTAACCCACTGTAGCCTACACAAGCAGAACATATATAATGTTTGACATTATATATTTCCCACCTTCTGATCGAGTGAGACCGCTAGATTCCCTTTACTTTTTGAGAAATGAGCGTTTCCGTTCTCCTTGGCCCTACTTGCACTATAAGTGCGAAATGCCGGCCAGACTGGCCGATGCACCATTTTCTCTACACATGTGCGTTAGTTACCTTTCAAACCCTTACGTTCACTAGATGAATTTATTTCCTACCTTCTATTTGAGTGAGACAACTAGATTCCGTGTACTATGCTAGATCTGAGCGCTTCCGTTCTCCCTGGCATTTGCACTCTAAGTTCCCATACTGACCGACCTGGCCAATGCACCATTTTCCATATACATATGCATTAGATTCCTTTCGAACCTTATTAGCTCACTAGTTTTATATATTTCCCACCTTCTGATCGAGTGAGACTGCTAGATTCCCTCTACTTTTTGAGAAATGAGCGTTTCCGTTCTCCTTGGCCCTAGTTGCACTATAAGTGCGAAATGCCGGCCAGACTGGCCGATGCACAATTTTCTCTACACATGTGCGTTAGTTACCTTTCAAACCCTTCCCTACTCTCTATTTGAGTGAGACCACTTGATTCCGTGTACTATGCGAGATCTGAGCGCTTCCGTTCTCCCTAGCATTTGCATTTTAAGTTCCGATACTGACCGACCTGGCCAATGCACCATTTTCTCTATACATTTGCGTTGAATACATTTCAAACCTTTTTAGCTGACTAGATTTATATATTTCCCACCTTCTGATCGAGTGAGACCGTTAGATTCCCTCTACTTTTTGAGAAACGAGCGTTTCCGTTCTCCCTGGCCCCACCTGCATTATGAGTGCGAAATGCCGGCTAGACTGGCCGATGCACCATTTTCTCTACACATGTGCGTTAGTTACCTTTCAAACCCTTACGTTCACTAGATGAATATATTTCCTACTTTCTATTTGAGTGAGACCACTTGATTCCGTGTACTATGCGAGATCTGAGCGCTTCCGTTCTCCCTAGCATTTGCATTTTAAGTTCCGATACTGACCGACCTGGCCAATGCACCATTTTCTCTATACATGTGCGTTGAATACATTTCAAACCTTTTTAGCTGACTAGATTTATATATTTCCCACCTTCTGATAGAGTGAGACCGTTAGATTTCCTCTACTTTTTGAGAAATGAGCGTTTCCGTTCTTCCTGGCCCCACCTGCACTATGAGTGCGAAATGCTGGCCAAACTGGCCGATGCACCATTTTCTCTACACATGTGCGTTAGTTACCTTTCAAACCCTTACGTTCACTAGATGAATTTATTTCCTACCTTCTATTTGAGTGAGACCACTAGATTCCGTGTACTGTGCGAGATCTGAGCGCTTCCGTTCTCCCTGGCATTTGCACTCTAAGCTCCCAAACTGACCGACCTGGCCAATGCACCATTTTCCATATACATATGCATTAGATTCCATTTGAACCTTATTAGCTCACTAGATTTATATATTTCCCACCTTCTGATCGAGTGAGACCGCTAGATTCCCTTTACTTTTTGAGAAATGAGCGTTTCCGTTCTCCTTGGCCCTACTTGCACTATAAGTGCGAAATGCCGGCCAGACTGGCCGATGCACCATTTTCTCTAAACATGTGCGTTAGTTACCTTTCAAACCCTTACGTTCACTAGATGAATTTATTTCCTACCTTCTATTTGAGTGAGACCACTAGATTCCGTGTACTATGCGAGATCTGAGCACTTCCGTTCTCCCTGGCATTTGCACTCTAAGTTCCCATACTGACCGACCTGGCCAATGCACCATTTTCCATATACATATGCATTAGATTCCTTTCGAACCTTATTAGCTAACTAGATTTATATATTTCCCACCTTCTGATCGAGTGAGACCGCTAGATTCCCTCTACTTTTTGAGAAATGAGCGTTTCCATTCTCCTTGGCCCTAGTTGCTCTATAAGTGCGAAATGCCGGCCAGACTGGCCGATGCACAATTTTCTCTACACATGTGCGTTAGTTACCTTTCAAACCCTTACGTTCACTAGATGAATATATTTCCTACCTTCTATTTGAGTGAGACCACTTGATTCCGTGTACTATGCGAGATCTAAGCGCTTCCGTTCTCCCTTGCATTTGCATTTTAAGTTCCGATACTGACCGACCTGGCCAATGCACCATTTTCTCTATACATGTGCGTTGAATACATTTCAAACCTTTTTAGCTGACTAGAATTATATATTTCCCACCTTCTGATCGCGTGAGACCGTTAGATTCCCTCTAGTTTTTGAGAAACGAGCGTTTCCGTTCTCCCTGGCCCCACCTGCACTATGAGTGCGAAATGCAGGCCAGACTGGCCGATGCACCATTTTCTCTACACATGTGCGTTAGTTACCTTTCAAACCCTAACGTTCACTAGATGAATTTATTTTCTACCTTCTTTTTGAGTAAGACCACTAGATTCCGCGTACTATGCCAGATGTGAGCGCTTCCGTTCTCCCTGGCATTTGCATTTTTAAGTTCCGATACTGACCGACCTGGCCAATGCACCATTTTCTCTATACATGTGCGTTGAATACATTTCAAACCTTTTTAGCTGACTAGATTTATATATTTCCCACCTTCTGATCGAGTGAGACTGTTAGATTCCCTCTACTTTTTGAGAAACGAGCGTTTCCGTTCTCCCAGGCCCCACCTGCACTATGAGTGCGAAATGCCAGCCAGACTGGCCGATGCACCATTTTCTCTACACATGTGCGTTAGTTACCTTTCAAACCCTTACGTTCACTAGATGAATTTATTTCCTACCTTCTATTTGAGTGAGACCACTAGATTCCGTGTATTATGCGAGATCTCAGCGGTTCCGTTCTTCCAGGCATTTGCACTCTAAGTTCCCATACTGACCGACCTGGCCAATGCACCACGTTCCATATACATATGCATTAGATTCCTTTCAAACCTTATTAGCTCACTAGATTTATATATTTTTCACCTTCTGATTGAGTGAGACCGCTAGATTTCCTTTACTTTTTGAGAAATGGGCGTTTCCGTTCTCCCTGGCCCCACCTGCACTATAAGTGCGAAATGCCGGCCAGACTCGCCGATGCACCATTTTCTCTACACATGTGCGTTAGTTACCTTTCAAACCCCTACGTTCACTAGATGAACTTATTTCCTACCTTATATTTGAGTGAGACCACTAGATTCGGTGTACTATGCGAGATCTGAGCGCTTCCGTTCTCCCAGGCATTTGCACCCTAAGTTCCCATACTGACCGACCTGGCCAATGCACCACTTTCTATATACATATGCATTATATTCCTTCGGAACCTTATTAGCTCTCTAGATTTATATATTTCCCACCTTCTGATCAAGTGAGACCGCTAGATTCTCTCTACTTTTTGAGAAATGAGCGTTTCCGTTCTCCTTGGCCCTAGTTGCACTATAAGTGCGAAATGCCGGCCAGACTGGCCGATGCACAATTTTCTCTACACATGTGCGTTAGTTACCTTTCAAACCCTTACGTTCACTAGATGAATTTATTTCCTACCTTCTATTTGAGTGAGACCACTAGATTCCGTGTACTATGCGAGATCTGAGCGCTTCCGTTCTCCCTGGCATTTGCACTCTAAGTTCCCATACTGACCGACCTGGCCAATGCACCATTTTCCATATACATATGCATTAGATTCCTTTCAAACCTTATTAGCTCACTAGATTTATATATTTCCCACCTTCTGATCGAGTGAGACCGCTAGATTCCCTCTACTTTTTGAGAAATGAGCGTTTCCGTTCTCCTTGGCCCTACTTGCACTATAAGTGCGAAATGCCGGCCAGACTGGCCGATGCACCATTTTCTCTACACATGTGCGTTAGTTACCTTTCAAACCCTTACGTTCACTAGATGAATTTATTTCCTACCTTCTATTTGAGTGAGACCACTAGATTCCGTGTACTATGCGAGATCTGAGCGCTTCCGTTCTCCCTGGCATTTGCAGTCTAAGTTCCCATACTGACTGACCTGGCCAATGCACCATTTTCCATATACATATGCATTAGATTCCTTTCGAACCTTATTACCTCACTAGATTTATATATTTCCCACCTTCTGATCGAATAAGACCGCTAGATTCCCTCTACTTTTTGAGAAATGAGCGTTTCCGTTCTCCTTGGCCCTACTTGCACTATAAGTGCGAAATGCCGGCCAGACTGGCCGATGCACCATTTTCTCTACACATGTGCGTTAGTTA